ACTAGCTACAATGATAAATACACTGTGACCACACTGCATGCATAGTCTATTATCTCCCTCCATTGAAAGAACGTATGTGTCTGGTGACACCCCCTGGCCTGGGGAGAAGCAACCATGTCTTGTGCACAGCCGATTACCACCATTTGGAAGTGTTGAACACGTAACAAACAAAGCTCAATGGCAGCTTAACTGCCAGTCAGTTATGTTCAGCCAGTCAGTCAGTCAGTGTTCTCCTTTCATAGTGAACTTCAGCTCCACCCTCTCCCTCCCCACCTTCACTGTTCCCCAATGTGGCCAGTTCGTCCTCTGCATCCTCTCTCACATGCCCTCTCCTGCCATGGCTCTGGCCACTCCCTGGAAGGGACGTGCCTGACCTTGTTCGTGCCCTCCTTGCATGAGTGTCTCCTGCCTCCACAACACTCGCAGTGCCACCTGGGGTTTGATCGCGTCACTGGCCCACTCAGGATCCTTCAGCAGCACCTCACTACTTACTGCGTAACATCCCAGCTCATCTCCCTGGCATTCAAGCCACTCTGCACTCTGACCCTAACCTGCTTCCCAGCCTCACCTTCCACCTTGCAACAGCCAACCTAAATTCCACCACACTCCACAAGAGCAGCTCCATCTTTCATCTCTGTTCCCTTCCACAGAACGTTTTCTTTTCCTGGAACGACCTTCCCCTTTCCCCTACTTGTCAAAATCGTCCTCATTTTTTGCCACCAGACCACATGCTATTCTCACTCTCAAATCCAAAGTGACTGTCCCAGCCAAAAGTTATTTTTCTTTCTCTGCCCTATTACAACACTCAAATTATACCATTCATGTGTTCCCTATTACATGTTGCTTTTATTGTAATTGTGAATCATACGAGTGCCTGCTCTATTCAGGGACTGCTATGTACATCACCCACCCTTTCTATAATTCTCAACCAGCCTGCAAGGTGAATACCATTATCGGTGGTGTTCGTGGTCTGTCCAACATCACACAGCTAATAAGAATGGAGCCAGGCTGTAAGGCTGTGTATGTCACTGCAAAGCTTGTGCCCTGCCCACTCTAGCAGCTGCCTCACTCACAGTTCCTGGTTGTCTTGCGTTTCTCCATGAGTAAAGTGGGGTCCTTGACCTTATGTATCTTGGTTCCAAATGTAACATGGTTCTATTGAGTGTCCTCATGGGCTGAGAACACATGACTTAATAATACCTTGTACCCAGTAAATGTGGCATGAAGGAATGCCTGAGATGTCTCTCTTTTCTTCTGTCGTTTATGCTGAAGCACATGCTCAGCTCTATTTGGTGTTTATCAGGACCTGACACCTTGGTACTCCCACCATCTCCTAGGCTAATCTGCTCTCTTGTTCCTAGATTACTAAATTGTCCTAACTATTCTCCTTTCCTGGAATCCACCCTACCCTCTGCCACCAAACTCATCTTCATAAATGTCAACTAGGTCACATATTCCAGTAACATATGGCTTTAACTCCCTGAAAGTCAGGGTCCTTCACTTTGCCTCATCACCCCCAACCCATGACCCAGAGTCATTTGGCCAGCTATAGCTTCTACTTACCCCAATCTCATTCCTCTCCCTGAGCCACTGGTCGCCTCTCTCGAATGCACCACACGAATTCCTGTGCAGTGTTCTTTGATCATTAGGTTTGATTTTTCCACATACATGCTCTTTCTCTTCTCCAGCTGTGGGCTTATTGGCTTCTTTAGTAAGTATATATTGAGCCTGACTGTGAACCAAGCACTGCACTGGACTCTGGGAACCTAGAAAATAGAAAATAAGACCTGCCCTCAGAAGGCACCCAGTTTACTGGGGTACGTAGACATAAAAGTAGGCAGCATAAAGAAAGGTAGTGAAAAAGAAACAGGAATGTGTAGGGAACTGTCATATTCTACCCATTCTTTATGATATGCTGCCCAAGTTTTTTGTGTGTCCAAACTAATTTTTCCCTTTTATAAATCCTTATAATTCTCCTGCCACATTCATTTTGACATTTAGTCACATACTGCCTTCTATGGTTATTTAAACGTTTCCCACACATGTCCTGCTTCCACAAGTGGATTTTAAGTGCCTTCAAACAAGGTGTATGCTTTATGTGTTTTATACCAGCTTCATCAGTTAGCATTAGCTGTGTAACAACACTTCCAAATTTAGTGGCTTAAAACCACAAACATTTATTATTTCTCACGATTCTGTGAATTGACTGGGCAGTTCTTTTGGTTTGGACTGGCTCAGACTGGGACTGAATAATCTGGGATAGAGGTAGGCAAACCATAGCCCACAGGCCTGCCACCTGTTTTTGTAAATAGGGTTTTATTGGAATACAGCCAATCCCATATCATCTATGGCTGCTTCCGCACTACAACAGCAGAGCTGAGTAGTTGGAATGGGTATGATCATATGGCCCACAAGCCTACAGTATTTACTGCTGGTCCTTTAAGAAAAAGGTTGTTACCCCCTCATTCTAGGATGATTGGTCTGGGGAGGCCTCACCTGAGATGACTCATCTCTGTTCCACACGCTCTTTCATCCTCCAGCAGGCTAGCCTGGAATTCTTTATATGGTGGCCTCAGGAGTCAAAAAAAAAAGAGGCAGCAGGACCTACTGCTTTATACCAAACTGCCTGCTGGACATGCCTCAGGGATTTCATATTAAACCTGTCTGGACTGGAACGCATTACTTTATCAATGTGCAGACTTTTTTATTTTTTTAAAGTTTCTGCTTACCTCATATTTTCTGTTATGCCTTTGATAAAAGCAAGTCCTATGGCTAAGCCCCAAGTCAGTTTTGGAGGGGCTGCCCAAGACTCTGTAAGGAAGGAATTATTGTAGCCATTTGAAAAACAGCCCACCACATCAGCCCATTCTTCCCTACCCCAGTGTCTGGCATCGAGCACGTGATAGGTACATGCTTGCTGAATTGAATTAAAAATATAAATAGAATTTTTGGAGGAAGGGAGTATTTTAAATAGTTATTGTATAAGTACCGTGTACCAGGTGCTGGGATACAACAATGTGCAAAGCATGCAGTTCTCATCCTCAAGGAGCACACAGTCAAACATCAATTCAGTGCATCCTTTCTGTCCAGTTGTGAAATGGGCTTTCTCTCTAGGATTCTCGTTAAGGATCTTTAGCATTTAACTATGACTCTACCATCCATTTGTCATTTCCTTTCTACCCCCACTACCCACTCATTAGCTGGACTTTTCAAGCCTGCACAAGGCCTGCTTTAGGATGCCCCTGCTTCCAGCCTTTTCTTAACCAGTCCCCCTGCACATGCTCCTAATGCCCCACTTTTATCAGGCTGCTCCTTGCTCAGGAGCCTAACGCATTCACCAAATTGAGCCCAGACCTCTAATATCCTAGAGCCAGCAACCCATCACAGTCCCCACGCTCCTTCTTGTCTGGACTGCCTCTTGTCTGGACCATATTCCTCAGAATATTCACTGTGCATCCTGTGTCCATGCCTCACTTGTCCTCTCTGCGTAGGGTATCTCCCCTTCCCATATGTGCCTGTTACGATACTATGCATCTGTCAAGGCCGGGCCAGATGCCACCTCCTCCATGCTGCTTCCCTGGTTGACCCTACTAAAAGTTATTTCCTCTTCTGCATTCACAGGGTACCAAGTTGGGAATGCTACTCAAATGGCACGTATCACATTCTGTTTGGCATTTGAGTTATCCTGAGTCATCCATTTCATGCATTGCACTCTTCTTGAGATTAAGGACCCAGTCTTATTCATTTTCATTTCCTTCTGAATGCCTTGCATAAAGGATACTTTTGGTAAAATCTCTTTTTCTGAATAAATAACTGATATTTGCATAGTGCTTTTGCCATTTCCCAACTCTTTTATTTGCGATATTTCTTTTTTTTTAATTATTATACTTTAAGTTCTAGGGTACATGTGCACAACGTGCAGGTTTGTTACATATGTATACATGTGCCATGTTGGTGTGCTGCACCATTAACTCGTCATTTACATTAGGTATATTTCTAAGAGGCCATTGGTTTAAATATGTTATGTACCACCAAGAAAGAAAAAAAAATTAATTAAAATATAAGCCACCAGCAATAAGATATATCCTTCCTTCTGAAACATCATTAAGTGAAAAATGTACAGACTGGAATCTGTGACGTACAGAATATTAAATCCAGTTCAGATATCTATTGGTATCCAATTAGACATTTATAAAACACCTAAATATACCAGGCATTAGAATCTCACAACAGCCATATGAAAGAGGTAGGGTGGGTAGTAGTGTTCCCATTTTACAGAGGAAAAAATTGAAGTTCAAAAGGGCTCCAGTGCTTTTTCAGAGTGAAGCAAATATAAGTAAAAGAGCCAAAGCTTATAGCATAAATCTTACAGTTAAAACAAACCTGCCTTCCTAAAATCACCTGTGGGTATCAAAACCTTTAAGTCACCTCTTATTATCAATGTGCACCTTTTTCTTTCTTTTTATAGCACTACCTACCCAAAACTATATGCACATCACTTGGCCTTTCAATTTGTTTTTCCCGGCTGCATTGTTTTGTCATGTTACCCCAAGAACATCCTGTTACTTGGCATAACATAATGTAATGTGATGTGATATTTCATACTGCTTAGGAAAAATTAGAATGATTGTTGGATGGTTAGATTTTTCTTGGGAAGTAATTAGCAGGCAGAATCTCTGTCACACACACACCCCCATAGGAGTTTCTCAACCATCATTAGCCTCAAAATAGTAGAAGGCTTTCCAAACCCAACACTTCACTTCATTAATTACCTCATCTGAATACTTGCTTTTGGATTTTAAGAAATACTTTGTGGAATATGCAGTTGAGAGACAAAACATTTTATTGGTATATTTAGATATTTGTTACATTTTAGAAGGAATTGGTATGTGCACATTTTGACTTTTGCATAAAGCTCAAGCTGGTTTTAAAGAACAGGTACACTGAAAACTCTTTTCCATATACATCTGGTTGTATTTTCATTTTATTCAAATTGCCAGGTAAAAGAAGAAAAACGCAAGTGGAAGAGACTTCCCAGATCAGCAGGAACTGGAATATGTTCAAGTCTTGGCAGAGCCAGGTCAGCCTTTCATCTGTCTAAGGGAGATGTGTTGAAATACCCACACTGCTCTCAGGATTACTCAGACTTTATTTGAGTAGTTTGTTAATTGCTGGTCACTACACTTTAGGGGAAAAAAAAAAAACAGTTGGAGAGAAGGGAAAGAGTCAAGAAGACTAGCCAAATGATACAAAATAAGATCTGTAAAGGAAAATCAAGAGAAAGAGATTGTTTGGCTTAGAGAAGAAAAAGTAAATTTCTAATACATAAAGGTCTTTGGGTGAAGAAAATTACAGTTCAGCTGTATCCTATGACCATTAATCACAAAACAAGAGGAAATTGCTATTTGTGCTAGACACATTGCATGGTGACAGCATCCTAGAAGTAATTCCCAAGGGATAGTGAGGTGTCCATTCTAAGACCTTTAGGATTCAGTTGCCTAAAGTGGATAGAGACCAAACTAGGAAATTTTGTAAGACCCCTTTAGGTATATTGAGTTAATCACCTACTTTTATAACTACTCAAACAACTTTTGGATCGTAATTATCAGATATGTTCTGTAGCTTCTACCTCTAGCTGCTGTGAAATGGGTAAATTTGAAGGTAGGGTGGAGTAGACTTCATGAGAACTTGACGAATAAAGATTACTCAGCCCCCAAGTCCTTATATAATATAGGTGTCCTAGCCCTTCTGTCTTGTAGGTCATATGGATGACTCATGCCACACACGTTTCACATCACCTCTTAAAGACTTATGGGTGCTTAATCTTTTGAAGAATATTTTCCCTGAAAATATTCCCTTTCTATCCTGCATGATCAGTTTCTCCCTTTGCACTAAATTTTTCCCATTGGCATAAAAAATCTTTAATATTTCCCCAGGAAAAAACTTCCTTATGTCACATTCTCCTTTAGCTTCTACTGCACTTTACTGCTCCCTTTCACACAAAACACTTCGAACTTCTTGTCTATAGGTATTATCTAGACTCATCTCCTGTTATCCCTGACACACTCCATTAAAGTCTCTGACACCACTGCTTCACCAGAACTGTTCAGATCAAAGCTACCAGTTACCACCTTGTCGCCTCATCTTCCTCAGCTTCTCAATAGCTTCCAGCACAGTCAATCACTCCCTTCTTCCTGGAACCCACTTTTCTCTAAGCCTCTATGACAGCTCCTCTCTTGGATTTTTTTTTCCTTCTCAATCACCGCTGCTGTCTCCTCCTCTGTTAGTTTCTGAATTGATGTGCCCTGGGGCTCAGACTGTCGGTATGTTTTCTCTCTGCCCTCTCACTTGTTATCTCCTCTGCTTCCAAACCTTTATGGCAACAACTCCCTAATTTATATCTTCAGTGCAGCTCTCTTCCCTAAATATCAGACTTATATATGCAACAGGGTACTTGACATGTCCACTTGGATGTTTGATAATCATTTCAAACTTAACTTATCCAAAACAGAACTCTTAATTTCTACCCAGGCCCTAACCTAAACAAACACTGGAAACTGTCCATCTCCCAATTATTCTTATCTCAGTAAATGACACCATCAGCCATCAACCAGGGATCCTATACCTCACCTTCCACATCCAGACTATCAAAAACTCCTACTGTTTTATGCCCAATCAGATATCAAGTCATTTCACCTCTTTCTATCTCCTCTGCTACCTCTCTCAGACATGTCGCCTCAATTTCTCACCTGAACTACTACATTAGCCTCCTACCTGGCTCTGCTTTCATTCCTGCCTCCCTGCAGTTCATTCCTACAGAGAATCTAGAAAAAGCTCTTCAAAATCTACAATCAGATGTGACTCTCCTACTTTCTAAAAACTTTTAAAGAGGACCTCCTCTTCCACCAGTACAACAGACTTTGTACTCCAAGGGGTATCTCTGTTGCATTTTAGAACTCCTAGGAAGTAATGAAAATATCTAATAAAAAATACAAGTAGCTAAGTGCATATATGTCAACAGTAATCAAGCCAGAAAAGGCAGACTTACCCATCACTTGTGTTTGTGTGTGATGGTCATGTGGGGGTGCAAATGGGGACTGTACTGCAACTCCCCCAGTTTAAGCCTGGAATTCTAGAAGGGAGATAAAATAGCCCAGGTTGGTAGTACCACTAAATTCCAGATAAAGCAAATGTAATTTAGGCTTCTAGTTTTTTTTTCACAGATTAGGATCTTGAGCTTTCAAAAAAAAATTATCAAACAAGGAAACAAACCACCATGAGTGAAAGTCAGCAAAAGTAGCATTAATGTATTGATTACTCCTTCCTCACCAAGGACTTTAGATGTTTGAATTATCAGATAAGAAGAAACTAGACTACCTTATATGAAGAAAAATTAACTTAAATATAGAATACAAAAATGGTGAACAACAGTGGTCTATCACAATCACCAGGCACTTTTGAAAAAAAGCTAAAGAAAACCTTCAGTAATAAAAAAGTAATTATCAAAAACTTTAGTGGATAAACTTTTTTGTAATGGATTAATTAATGAACTGGAAAATAAAACTAAAATAGTTTCTTGCAATGGAGCACAAACAGACAAAGAGATGGAACTATAAGGAAGAGAGGTTAATAAGTTTGGAGGGCAGAATAAGCAAGCCTAACATAAGCCTGTTTAGAGGGTCAAAGGGAACCAAAATATGCAGAATGGAGATGAGACAATGTTTAAAGAGATTGTGGCTCAGAATTTTTCAAATAGATGAGAAATACTGATCCAGAGATACAGGAAGCAGTGTATCTAAAAAGAGAAATAAGCATTCACAACTTTTTATGCTGTAGTAAGACTGTAAATCACTGAAGACAGCTCTCTTAAAAGAAGCCATAGGGAAAACAGACCACATCCACAAAGGCACAATACTTAGACTGACAGCAGACTTCTCAACAGCAATGACTAAATCCAGGAGACAGTGAAATATTTTCAAAGTTCTGAGAGAAAATAATTTTCAACTTAAATTGTGTTTTCAGCAAAAATAACCTTCAAAATGAGAGTGAAATATTTTCTTCAGACATACAAAACCTAAGGGAGTTTACGACCAGCAGACTTACACTGAAGGAACTTCAAAGAATATACTTCAGGCTGGGTATGGTGACACACACTTGTAATCCCAGCATTTTGGTAGGTCAAGCCAGGAAGATTGCTTGAGGCCAGTTTAAGACCAGTCTGCACAAAACAGTGAGACCCTGGTTCTACAAGAATAAATAAATAGCCAAATGGGTGGTGTATACCTGTAGTCCTAGCTACTCAGGAGGCTGAGGTGGGAGAATCACTAGAGCACAGGATTGAAGACTGCAGTGAGCCTGATCACACCACTGTACTCCAACTTGGATGACAAAGCACAACCCTGTCTGTTTAAAAGAGAAAAAAAAAAAAAAAAAGGCATATACTTCAGAAAGAAGAAAAGAGATAGCAAAAGGTCTGAAAAATAGAAATGGTAAGCAAAGAAATTGGTAAACATGTAGGCAAATCTAAACAAATATTGCTGGTTTAAAATACTGTGTAAAACTCCCTATATATGAGGAAGGAGATAATCAGAGTTTGCATTATAAGGTCCTTTTTTTCTGAAGGGGTTAAACTACTAATTTTGGATTTCAAGGGTAACTGCTAAAAGAAAAGAACTAGTATATAACTTCTAAGCCTGATGTTCAAAAAAAAAGAAAGAAAAAATGCATAAAGCATAGGAAAGTAGGACAAATAGAAAATAATATTATAAAAACAAATACAAATATATCAGCAATCACAATATATGTAAATAGCCTAAACTTTCTGGCTAAAAAATAGAGTAAAAATTAAGATTTTTTTAAAAATATAATACCAATTCAGCTATACAGTGTTTAGAAAAATATACCTTTAACACAGAAAGACAAAGAAAGATCAAAAGTAAAGGGATGGAAAACATATTCGAACAAATACCAATCAAAAGGGAGCTAAAGTAGCTTTGTTGATATCAGTCAAAATAGACTTTAAGGGCTCGGTATGGTGGCTCATGCCTGTAACCCCAGTGCTTTGGGAGACCGAGGCAGGCAGATCATTTGAGGCCAGGAGTTCGAGACCAGCCTGGCCAACGTGGCGGAACCCTGTCTCTACTAAAAATGCAAAAACTTAGCCAGGCATGCTGGCCTGCACCTGTAATCCCAACTCAGGAGGCTGAGGCATGAGAATCGCTTGAACCCAGGAGGCGGAGGTTGCAGTGAGCCAAGATCATGCCACTGAACTCTAGCCTGGGTGACAGAGAAAGACCCTGTCTCTCAAAAATAAATAGATAGATAGATAGATAGATAGATAGATAGATAGATAGATAGATAGAAGACTTTAAGATATAAAACATTAATCAAGGTAGAGAGAGCACTACATATTGATAAGGTTTTAATTCATTGGAAAGGTATAACATTTCTATATAGCATCAAAATGTAAAACAAAAATTAATAAAACTGTAGAGAAATTTCACATTTCTCCAAGTTATTGCTTGGTCAAGCACATAACAAATAATTAGTAAAGGTATATAAAATTGAAACAGTACAACTAAATAGTTTGATTCATAGAATCTTGCATCAAACAAATATATGTGTTCTTCACAAGGAAGAATTAAAAAACTTGCCCTTATACTACACCCCTAAAACAAGTCTCAACAGATTTCCAAGAATCAATATAATGACCACATTATCTGATCATAATACAATTAAATTAGAATTCAGTAACTAAAACATAAACCTCCCAAAATTCCCCTTATATGTGGAAATTTTTTAACATTTTAAAATAATTCTTTGATCAAAGATGTAATAATGGAAAATTTAAAATACTTAGAATTGAATGATAATGAAAATATGATGTATCAAAACTTGTGGGATACAGTAAAAGTTGTACTTGGAGGAAAATTTATAGTCTCATATGGTTTTTTATTTTTATTTTTTATTTTACTTTTAAGTTCTGGGATATATGTGCTGAACATGCAGGTTTGTTACTGGAAAAGGAAAAAGTGAAAATTAAGAAGTTAACTTTGAGAAGGTTAAAAAAAGATGAACAAC